TAGTTCCTGCGGCTGACCTTGGACAGCTGGAAGCAACACAGTCACTGGTTGTAACAACCTTTTCAAGATGAGAACAGCCACGCCTCTTTGGGGTTTTATACTATACATCAAGTTCTCACCAAGGTCAAGGATTAACATGTTACAGGCTTTGGCTCAAAGACTGTTGAATTCACTTGAGTCATCTCCACTAAAGTGGCCTAGATGGTCCATCAGGACGAACACTGGCTGCACTCATGGACTGTGGTAGCACACAGATCCTAGCAGTCTGAGTCTCCCCGGTGCTTTGTCCTGAACCCCACAGCTCTTCCATTTTCCTTAGGCATCCTGCACATAACCATTCACGTTTGTATACTGTGTAACTTCCTCAGCTCTGAACTGGCTGCTGAGCCTAATGCACTTACCTCTGTTCATTCACAAGTCGACAGTAATTCATGCTTTTTTCTTCACAGTATCTCCTGCTCCATCATTAGAAACATACACCTTCACAGGTATTATCATTTACCCTCTTCATCAAACACGCTTATTTCGCACACCTCATTGCCCCAAAATTCCTTCATTTCCTGTCTCCTTTCAGATTAAGATAAACCTTTAATCCACTATGATTCCCCTGCTGGGAATCAGGTCTGCATGAGGAAAAATTTGTAGGGCTCTGAGGATTTTTCCTCATAAAGAACAGAAAATGAGAATTGTCCTGATAACTCAAGCTTAGAATTGATAAGGTTATGATATATTTACGTCGTCTCAGGGTCATGTCTGATTCTCATAAGCTGCAGGTACACTGGTAATAAGTTTAGGCCGTGCTCCCTACAGGTGACATTTGATGGACTGTCTAGTTGTTCCACTGTCACATGAAGCACAGGTGACTCCCATATATCCTTCCTTTATACTCAGCAAGATCTCTCCATAAACCAGAGGCTGGAAGTTGAGCCCCCTGCATTGGATATACGGTGCCATGTTGCTTCTGGATAATTTTGGGTTGGCACAATTCTGTACACGTGTCTTTCATCTGATGGCCATATGATCCATGAACACCTGACACAGTTCTTGAGCATCAGAACAGTATATGAATTTTACCAGACCTTCTAGCTTCTATTAATGATAGGCCCTTGGCTATTCATACAGCTTTTTTTTTTTTTTTTTGAGACACTAGGGATGCTTTCTGATGAATTGCTGCCCTTTGCTGACATAAAATACACAGACTTGGCTAGCTGGGCTGTGAAGGAAAATAAGTTCTATAGCAGACTAACCCTGCAAGGTGTTGGCCACTATGGGATTCTTTCAGTTAGCATTTGCCTGTGTGAATATCCAAACCATAACAAATCCACAGATCGTCTGCTGTCCACTTGTGATCTTAGCACCCACGATGAGGAAGCAGAATGAGCTGAGCTCAAGGGGAACCTGCAAAGTCAGTGTGAGGACAGCTGGGGAGACATGAGACCCTGTCTCAACAAATAAAACCCACGAATAAGACACACACTACCTCTAAGGCCTCACCTACCAATCCTTTCTAGTGAAAAGACTTACCATTTTCCCTACCAGTCTTCCACCTTAGGGAACCAAAGAGGAAGATGAAGTGATCTTTCTGATCTAAGGACCTGTGCCTGCCTTTCCCTAGGTCCAAATAGAGAGCAGATGAAACTGGGTATTACCATTTGAACTACGGAGTAATAGCCACTGATATTACTTGGCCTATGATAGTACTTTGCCTATGACAATCTCTGCCTTTCCCAACAGGAAGTGCCAGGTCTGAGGCAAACCCTACTGATCCATTCCAGCAGCTAGACAGAAGCCATCAGAGACACTCCCCTTCCTTGTCTAAATATTAAGTGTAGCCAACCCATTTGAAATGAGGTGGGCTATTTAACTACACTTGATACCCGCGACCCCACACTTCAGAATTGAGTTCAGGGTAGAGTTTAGACAACTACACCACTGATGAGGACCTTGGTATTCTGCCCAAGGTTCAGATTATTATAGGACTGGCTATACATAAGCAACATGTTGCTGACAGAAAGAGGTGACCCTGCCCAGGACCTCTGTCCATAAGAGACTTTAGGGGAACCACCCTTTCTTCCTCAGGACTGTGACTCATGTACAGTCTTCAGTTGGGAGCCAAGGGTACAGAGCCCTTCAAAAGTGACTTGCTGGGCGGTGGTGGCGCATGCCTTTAGTCCCAGCACTCAGAAGGCAGAGGCAGGTGGATCTTTGTGAGTTGGAGGCCAGCCTGGTCTACAAGAGCTAGTTCCAGTACAGGCTCCAAAGCTACAGAGAAACCCTGTCTTGAAAAAACAAAACAAACAAACAAACAAACAAACAAACCAAAAAAGTGATTCACATTACTTGGAACCTGAAAGTTTCTATTCCCTTTGATTTTAAGGCAGTTAGATTCAAATAGCCAGGGCCTAGCCATCCCACACTGGACCTCACATCCTCATTGCTTTTCCAGAAATGCCATGAAATTAGCTTTGTTTCTATAGCTTCCCATTTCAAAGTAAAATAACAACAAACACTGTATCTCTCTCAAACAGAACAAATAAATAACTGTAATGTATTAACATGGGTACATCAGTGCAAAATCAAGCATATTCAAGAAGTGGGAAATCATGACTGTGTCCTGACCTCTGTGGGCCTAGATCTGGACACACCTCGAGAGTACTGCAGGGGCAGTATGAGGGGGAATGGGCACAGAGGCAAAAAGAACAGCAGTGCTGAAGTCCCACAGGTCAGGTAAGAGAATCCCAGCTCCACATCTAAGAAGTTTCTGCTGAGGCCATGGGTCTTGTCTGACCTGGGCAGTGGCTAAGGTCATGCAGGTTTCTGTCCAGAGCAAAGTTCTTCCTTTCCACAGCTGTCAGCACAAGGGGCTAAGCTCACTGCCATTAATAATGTCCTGGGGTCTGACTGCTGTATTCTGGCTTGTGCATGGGTTTCTTCAAAATTTAGCCCTCCTCACTTTTCTTTACTTAACTTTGATGTTATTTTGAAGATGGGGTCTCAACGTGTATCTTGCCTGGCCAGGAGCTTGAAAAGGAGAACAGGCTAGCCTTGAACTCTTCCCTCTGACTACCGAGTCCTGGGATTGAAGGCATTCATCACCAGGCCTGGACTTCCTGTCACCTTCTCTTCTCTCAATCTTCAACCTGAGTCTCCACATTTTCTGGGCCGCTTGGCTCTTAAAATGATGTTTAGTGCCTCACTAAGTCAATTTCCTCATGCCAAAACCTCTTATGTGAAGCTCCCCATGAGACAAATGCCAAAGCAATTCCCAGTCACACTGGACATCTCCGTTTTCTGAGTCTACCCACAACCATGTTTTTCGTAGACTCTGAACCTTTAGAATGCTCTCAGATAAGATGTGCATCCTTCAAACAGAAGGCAGCGGACACAAAAGTTGGAGTCAAAGTCGGGTGCTAGCACTCCAAAACTCACCCCAGCTGCAAAGCTCTGGAGGCACTGCCACTAAGGAGTATGCCTAATCTACATCTTACACTAGATGAAAAGTGACGGATTTGCTCCACATTGACAAGAAGTGATGCTAGAGAACGATCCTGAACCCACATAGATCAGGAGGGACACTACAACCCTACACAGATACCAGGAAGCTTCCTGCATGTGCCTGTCCCTACATGTATCCAGAAACTTCTCTCTGGTTGGGGTGATCCAGTCTGACTAATACAGCACATAGGGCTGGAAGGTCAAAAGCTGGGAGCAGAAGTTGCAGAGATGGCTCACGGGTTAAGAGGATTTGGTGCTTTCAAATGGTGCCAACCATCTGCAAAATGGGATCTGGTGCCCTCTTCTGGTCTTTTAGGGAACTGCTTCCATGTGGGTCACAGGTATTCATTCAGTAGGAAATCTACCCATTCACATAAAATAAGAATAATAAACTTAAAAAGAAAAGTACACCAACTACGTGTTCAAAGCTAATAGCCTCTGTAAAAATTTATCTCCCAAAGTGACTTGGGAGGTCACTATCTGTATTGTGGGCTTATCACTATGCAGTATTGCAAGAAAAACAGAGGCAGAAAGCTCTGGCTTAATCTATTTTATAGTCCCATAATGAATGCTTTTATTGCCTGAGAGGCTATATAGCAACAAATGTGTATTTCTCAAGAATTTGGTTCTTATGACCAATTCATGAAAGTGTGTTCATAGAGTACCATACTTTACAGTTAGCTAAACACATGACAGCATGGCTATAGTGTGGAAAGTATGTATGGACGGAACAAACCACCCATGACATCAGTCCCCTGTATTTCCCTATCTGGTTGGGAACTCACTATGTAGTCCACGATGCCTAGATCTTGCAGAAATTTATCTGTGCCTGTGAGTTCCGGGGTTACAGGAGTATGACACCACACCTGTCTAAAGAAGATGGGCTTTTGTGTGAAGAGTTGAAATTGCTTTTTTTTTTTAATTAATAAAAAACACATTTTTTCTCAAAAGGGGATTTAAAAAAGAAGTCAAAATAAACAGCGAAAAGTCTTAGCAAATTATGAAAAACAAGAATGAGAACAGATAACATCAAAATAACAAAACCAAAACCTAAACAACCAAAACCAAAAACCTAAACAAAAAAAAATGAAGAAAATGAAGCTAAGCAGCCTTGTCTTGCTGCAGGTTGAACAGCACGGACCTACAGCCTGTGGCTTGCCTTGGAGACACAGTAGGAAGACAGTCACCGCTTGTTACAACATTGTTAAGACGCACACAGAGATTTCTCTTTGGTGCTTTGCATGTCCTATCCTCCCCAAGGGTGAGGTATTTTCCCTCTTCTGAGGTCAAAGCCACAAAGGGGGTGTCCATTTCTGAGGAGGCCTAGATCCTAGGAGGTAGAATGCCATGTTGTCCATGGCTTCCCTTGGCTTCCTCAGTTCAAGAATGAACGTGTGTCAAGGCCCAGAAGCAGCTATGCTGGGTCACTGGCTAGGCATAATCAGGGCCTATTACACAAAAGACACCAAACTTGAGGAAGAAAATGCATCCCCGGAATTCAGTAGCTACTGGGAATGGGGAGCAACAGGTGGCTCTTGCTGTAGCAGCTCCTTCTGCAGGTGGCTCTCATTCTGAGCTGTGGCCTGTTCAAGCTCAGCCTGAAGATTTTTGAACCTGGGAGAGGAAAGCAGTTAAGACACAGGCCAGGAGAGGACACACTGCATCAACTGTCTAGCTGATACCTCCCACCACCTCATGTGTCCTGGACAATCAACACTGACCTTTGGACTGGTATCACTGTTTCTATCTTCAAAGAAAGAGGATCACAGAGTAGCTGGACCTAGAATTTTTTCAGCCCTAAACACATCATACCTTAAACTGAGTATGTATAATGTCCTTTCTACCAGAATATTTAGGACAAAATCCTACAGTTCAGGGAAATAATTTTGTATATACCAATAGAATATTAATATGATAATCAACAGTATATAAAAATACACTTGTTATTGATGACGAGTTATTGATCAAGCACATCATTCCATTGATAGCTATAATACAGTGTTTCTATTTGGGCAACCGAACAAGGTCATGAGGCTAGCTCAGTCAAGGAGGTACATTGAACATGACCAACATGCACGATAATGTTTCTCACATGAGTGCAGCATTTCCTGAAATGCGTGCCTGAGAACACTGACCCTGCCAGGGCTCTGGGATGAAACAGAAACTTGTGATTTCCTTAGGACTAGAGCTGGGAATCTGCATCCTGGCTCTTATTGGGAGTCTGTTACAGCACACTCAGAGAAGGTTCAGAGCTACATGGGTCATCCTGCAGCTCAGGTATCTACTGGTCATCCTGGAAAGTCTTTAACCTACTCTATCCAGAGAATTCTTTGCACGGGAAATAGATAATTGTTGCAGAGAGCAGTGTTCAAAAGTGGGAATCTTTTCTTCACATAAAATTTTCCTAAATAAAAATGTTATTTCAGCCAGGTGTGGTGGTGCACACCTTTAAATTCCATCACTTGGGAGGCTGAAGAGGCAAATTCCTGCCAGTTCAAGGAACTCCTGCTCAGAACATAGAGAGCTCAGGAGGAAGAAAGGGAGACTCAATTCTATAGACACACTGAACATCAGATGCATTATTTTCTAAAGAGAAGTTCTTGTTGACTGAATCAGCACAATTCTCTAAGGTTTTCTTTCCCTGGTTCTGGCTGGGAGCTATATGTGAGCAGACCCGTAAAAGGCAGAGATCCCAGGTAAATGGGACCCACTTGACTCTACCTCAACCTCAAAAGTCTGGTTCCTACCTCATCTGGGAGACCTCAAAATCATGCTGCAGCTTTTCTGCCAAGTCCTTTTCCTGCGAGACCATTTCCTTCTGCTTCTGCAGGAACTGAAGGCTTTCCTCCAATCTCTTGAACTCCTGTTCATTACAAGATTGTTTTCTTATTGAAGGGTTACAGACAGTCATACAAATCTAAGCACATCAAAAGGATCTGAATAGCTTGCTGATCAGCCAGGCAGACTAAACAGTATAACATCCAGGGGACTAAGAAACCCTGATTCTAGTTAGAGACTGACCAGAAACACAATGGTCTCCTTTAGCCAATTGCACACAAGTATGTTGTACCAGAACACCCTCAAACTTACACTACACTACACATGCACAAGCGCACACATACACACATAAAGAGATAAAGGAGAGAGAGAGAGAGAGAGAGAGAGAGAGAGAGAGAGAGAGAGAGAGAGAGAGA